CAATTCAGTTCGGTTCAAGTCAATTCAGTTTTATTTATCCAGCACCAAATTACAACAACAGTCACCTCAAGGCACTTTATCTTGTAAGATGGAGACCCTACAATAATAGACAGAAAACCCCAACGATCAGACGACCACCTATTGGTCGGTTGGGTGTGAGGGGAGGGACAGGACATCCATCCATCAATCTATCCATTAATCTGGAACCTACCCAGCTATTATAGGGCAACCTGTAATATCTGGCAACCTTGCAGGCAACCTGTCCAGGGTTGCCAGTCCATCCCAGTGCAACAGAGTCAACCATTAACACTCAAATTCCCACCAAAGGCTAATTTTGAAGTACCAGTTAACGTTCACAGTCTTTGGACTGTGGAAAGAAGCCATGCAAACCCAGGACCTTCTCTTCTTGCTATGAGGCAACAGAGCTGCAAATTTAACTTATAAAACTAATTGAGTGTGGTTTTATGCACGCTAAGGTCTCATAGTAATGTGCTGTGTAACAAGACCGCACTGATAAAGAAGGAGTTTATGATTTCGACAGGGTAAGTCAAGCGCGTGACGTGAAGTGAAGGGGTTCATCTGGGTAGAGTTGTGAGAACACTGTTGCTAGGCAACCAGGCAGCCATAATTGAGGCCCAAAGATATCTTGTTGCTCTCTAATGTGATAGTAAGATGTCAAAGAATAAACGAATGGATGCATATAAATGGTTAAACTAATGCTTTTGCATTTTGTGCCATTTCCACTTTAGATTTTACATCGCAAATAAAAACCAGTCCTAAATACTGATGCTCTGATATGATGCCTTGAAAGAAAAGCGTGGAGGTTTTCAGGGGCTAACTCTCTTTCAACTAAATTTATTTGACAGCACAACGAGGAAGAAGGACCCTACATTTGGGAATATCTGAGACAAACAGGTCCGTCATCAGACAAAAGTTGATGCGACAATGGCGACAAGTCCCCTGAGGACGTAACATCCCTTCACTTTGTTTTGCTGCATGTGTGAATCTGTGACAAACACGCTGTGTGTTTTCACCTGTCTTACCTATCATGGGCGATTCGATAAAACTCCAGGTGTTGCTTTGCGGTACGTAGGACTGGAGCACACCCGCCGAGCGCCCGGCCTCATTCACACCTCCGAACACGTAGATCTTCCCTCCGCACACGGTGGCTGCGGCAGAATGGACCGGCTTGGGGAGAGGAGAAACCGTCTCCCACTGGTTGGTGATGGTGTCGTACCTGAATGGAAACAAAGACATTTTCTTAGGCTTATAAATTTACCCCTCCTATAGTCATTTCACCTTTTTTCTAGTTAATAAAACAGATAAAAGAAGCAGAACTACGCGCAGGTCAAGGTTTAGACTTGACTGATGAGCAAAGTTCGCGACCCCACTTCTATTAAACAGCTCCAGGATGAGGAGAATTACTTATGAAAACCCCTGTAACACCAGCAGACAGTCACTCATTTACACCCACACACGCACACCAATAGTTTACAGAAACGCTCTGATTTTAAAAGTTCCCACTGCTCTGAATTCACAGTGAAACGCTCAATTTGGCTGCAGGGCTGACAGATATAATTAGCAGAATGCCTACACCACCAGGGAAGATGAAAAAGACCAACCATTACGTACAATGACAGCAATTAAAGCAATTACACAAAACAACATATGTTGGGAGCTACAAGCCATTAGTCTCTAGAGTTGGGCTGTGTGTCAGCACTGAGCTTTGGACCTTACTCGCTGAGCCCTCTTTGGCAGAGACGTCAACGCGGAGCCTAAAACTCAGCCGACCCAAACAGACACAGCCAGATGAAAGGGCCTGACACAAAGGGCTGCATGAGAACAAGACGCTGGCTTATTGGATTGTGCCCTTGTCAGAGGTTGAGTGTGTGCGTTTTCTATGTATATTTCCCCACATTTGCATTCCTGTTTGGGCATGTGTGTGCGTGCATGCAACACGCGGGTGTGTGTTTTTGACTCGCGGCTCCATTAGCGCAGCGTGTTAGCAGTGTAATCCCGTGTCCATGGGCCACTGATCAAAGCAGCCGCGCCGACAGCCTTCCAGCTGGAGCGGGCCTCATTAAAGAGGCGCAAACGGATCCAGGATTTGTGATTAAAACACGCATCCATTCACACTAAAGCGAGCCTCCGTAATCAAGGTTGCGTCTTTGTTGTAAAGAAAAACACCTTTGTCTAAAAACTGGGGGCAGAATTCCCTAGACAACAAAACCTTACACTTGAAGCGCTTGAGTGAATATTAAAAGTGCCACACTTAAAAGTCATTTTTAACTCCCGTTTTCTCACTGGGGTCAACGACCTTCATTACGGCACAGGTGGCTTCTCCCATTCATGCAACATACAGGTGTTTGTTTTAGCGTACGGATGCTTTGCCGCCGCGGTCTGTGCAGCATTTGAAGTCAGGCTGAATTTAAATGACACCTGGAAGCACTCATTGCATCCACCTTCCTGTGAGAAGGCTGTTAGATAAAGTGCCAGAGGATATGGGTGAATTAGCCTTTGGGAATATTCTCGGGGTCTGATAATGACCTTGGCAACAGCTGCCGAGGGGATGGGGTGGGTTTAAAATCGAGTGTCAGTCTGACAAAGTGGTGACACAGAAGCTGCTCTAGGAAAGGTGGACTTGAAACACTCAAGAGTGCCAATTAGCACTTTTCAAACACTCACACTCTCGCCCAATCAGGTTGAGTAACCGAACCCCGCTGAGATAGAAGGACTAGCACGTGGTCATTCCCTGGCAGATGTAATTACCCCTCGGACCACATCGGGGGAGGTTCACAAATTTAAGGGTCAGATGCTGCTGAGTGATGCTGATTACGGGACAGACAAAAGTCACACGGCACTGCTGCAAACAGCCGGTTTCCATATTTCTGCGCATAATAAATGTTTCGTGGCCCGCGGTGTCGCAGTTTTGGTTCATTCGTATAGCAGACGCAGTTGGCGAGCAGCTAGTGAACACAGTGGCTGCTAAAGAGCCAGATAATAGCCCTGGGTATTATTGTAAAGGGAAAAACATTGCTAGGGCTTGGAATAAAACATTTATGCAATTATATTTTTACATATTTTGAAAGAAGAGATAATTTTTCCTGCAGCACTTTATCTGATTCCAATTCTTGCTCTTCAAATATTCAGACGATTAGAAACACTGGCTGCATTTCTCCAAATTCAAAGCTTTAGACACAAAACAGAAATAGCTATAATGCTGAATAACCACTGCCATTCTGACTTCTTCAGATAACAATGTGCTCATCACGTGAGACCCAGTATCTTTCAATAAGAAGCAGATTAGGGAAATGGGCTTCAAATCCCATTAATGTAAACACAGCACAGCTATCATCCAATCAGAAAGGGTCAGGAGTTGTAATAAAAGGGAACACGTGCAGGTCAGAAGAAAGCCGCCGTCTCGGGGCTGTTTCGCAGGTTGCAAATCTGATTGAATTCATTACGTGTGTGATTCACCATCAAGCATTTAATGCGAACCGTGACATGAGGACTGACACTAAAAAGACTCGAGAGTGGGTGTATATGGTTCGATTATATCTCCGAGGCAGAGGAGCCAAAGCAAGGAGGGAGACACCTCGCTGATTACAAAAACAAAGACTATCTCTGTCCTTCTGTTTCCTCTTCCCTCAGTCAGACAGAAGCTGTTTTCATCGTCACTAAAGACAACGTATGAGTTTAATCATCATTCTGCGCTACATCGATTGCTTTCTTTAAAAAAAAAAAAAAGTGTTTATACACAGACTGATCACCGCGTGAAGCCATGTAATCGTCTGTAGCTCTTGACAGGGACTGTTTCATCACGCAGGGACAATCATCTTGAAAATGCAGCTGCGGGGTTACAACGAAACAAACAACGTGGGATTGTGTTCCTTTATGTCGGGTTAGAGACAGAACGAAAGACAGATAGGAAGGGCAGGACGAGGTTGTGAATGAAAGAAAGAGGCCAGGCTTTCGACGAGGCTCGGCTTTCGAACGCGTAACGCGGATAAAAATGACAGGCTGATGCTCGCGGCGCGCACCGCGACTAATGCGTCAACAAATCAGCGTTATAATTTCGTGTCACCCAGGTGCGAGGCATCCCCGCGAAGTGTGATTGTGTTCCCACATGACCAGACTGCAGGAGAACCATTATGTTTGATAACAACAGGTGAATCGAGACGGATGCCGTGCAAAATATGCAGCCGCAGCTGCCGCGTTTGCTCACGACGATTGGCAGATGGACGTGCCATTTCTCCACCTGTCTGCAGACTCTACGTGGCAATCCGATCTTAGTTAATTAACTGGTAATGAATAAAATTGAGGGGAGGGGGGGGGATAATCTGAATGACTTATCGGCATACAACCTGGTTATTGGTGGGTGGTGTGCATGTTTACTGGCTACACTGCATTTTTCACCAGCGACAAAACCAAAAGGCTGGAGTTACTTTTATTCCCTATTGGACAATTCCATCCGTCTCCAGCATTTTCCAATTTCCCTAACAATCTGTGGCACCCAGCGCCAATCCTAGTCGTTCTTACAGACAAAGTAAATCTAACAAAGTAATTTTCTAACACAGCTTGGTACTTCACTTTTTAGCCAAATAGAACATTTACTGAAAACCCTTTTTTTTAGGGTGGCAGATGAATACATATTAGGTCCCTTGATGGTATTTAAGGCATCAGGATGCCGTTGACGATGTTCACTAAAAATACTGGAAACTACAGTGCACATGTTCATCAATGATATCAAACTATCCTGAGCAAAAGCGCTGCCGTGCAATGTGCTCTGAATACTGCTTGAGCTGTATGGTACAAAGGAATGCACAATATGAAGAGATGTTATACACAGACAATACTTGTCAGACTGTTTGTTAGTTTTATCCTTTTTAAAATAGAATCAAGTCTTTATTTATTTATTTCTTCTATAAGGCTGATTTGGCATTTCAAGAGAATGCCGAAAGATTAAACCCATTTCCGTCATCTTCAAAAAGCTGGAACGTGTGGTGGACGTGGGCTTCACCAGCTAAGACTGATGTCATTACAGGCTGCTGAGAAAATGCAGTACATAAGAAGATATTGGCCCTCAGGCACTCACTTTTTAACAATAACTAGGAAACAAACATCTGACTCACAGACCATAAAAATGAACCAAATGGAGCCTGCCGTCGGATTTGCTCAGTGGCATTACACATCTAAAGCCTTGTGAATGTGTAAGTCTATCTGTTATGTGCGTGCGTGCGTGTGCTCGCCATCTTGTTTCCTCTGATTGTGGAACAACATCAATGTGCTAGATTGAATAACATCAATCGGTAAGTGTGATCTAATGTGACACAGGAATTCATGCCATGAAATGTATCAGAGGCAATATAAAATATGGACGTAGCCGCAGCATAATGACACACTGCTTCTGGACTATGCATTGTAGAACTTTTTAGAGGCCGTTTTAGAGCAAAATTGATCACAACTGTATTTAATTTTAAAATCATGTAGCGCCAATAATAAAGAGAAAATCCCAACAATCAGACGGGCCCCTGTAAGTAAGAACTTGGTGACAGTGAGACGGAAAAACTCCCTTTTTAAAGGAAGAGAGTGAAGTGCAACGTTGTATCCATAGACAGATACCAGATACCTGCTTATTAGAGCTAAATAACATGCAAATGAGATGCTACACTGACTAAAAGTAGAGGACTGATATCTTAGATGGACTGTTGGAACAAATACCTGCACAGCAAGTTATGATATTTATCAGATAGTTGCATTAAAAATGCTTCAAAAAGACACCAGAAACG